GAAAAATATAACCAGAAACATCATACTAAGGATGCTAGGCTGTATGTTCATATCTGGGTCCAAAGCATATTGAAGATTGCAGCTTAATTCTGATTAAACATATACAGACATGAGGGTGCCAACTCGTATGCGTCCTACTGGACATAGCTGAAATTATTACTGAGTAAATACAGCATATGCATGGGGCCAGGTTGCCGTTGTCTCTCTACTTTATTCTCACAACAACCTTGTGAGGCAGGTCTGGCTGACACTGTGACTGTCCTGAGGTCACAGAGTGAATTTCACAACCATGTGGAGATTAAAATAGAAGTCTCCTAAACCCCAGTCCAACACTCTAAGCACTGCATCCTACTAGCTCAGACCTGGGCAAAGTGTGGCCACATACGGCCACATAATATTCCAACACTCATCCATATGGTAGAAGAGATGTATGACCCATCCTAGAGAGCAAGCACAATACACACAAGATTCACAGAAAGATCCCCATGCAAAACTTTCCACAGAAGGCATTCATACTGGATGTGATTGTTCTAACAGAGTCACTTTGCTATTTCATCACAAAAGCAAGGCAAAGCTTAAATATCTGTAAATAATTTGTGACTGCAGGCCAGATGGGCGGTATAAAAGTACTATATGTCTGTATATATGCATGAATAAATACTGCAGGCCAGATGGGCGGTATAAAAGTATGTCTGTATATATGCATGAATAAAGAAGTAAATACATACAGTACTTTGTTGCAGCCCTCCTTAGACAAGCACAGATACTTATAAGTGACAATCGTTAAGACTCTATAGGTGCTGATCACTGGCCTGAGATGAGGTCCACTGCTCAGATAAACATTTAAGTTTTAGTCAGAGCAAAAGCCTCTATTCACCTCTGACCTCACAGAAAACCTCTGACACTTCAAATTTACAATCCACATTATGAAGAGCGGGGGAGGGCGGGAAAGTCTCACCACACTTTACCCACTGGGTTCAGCATATAATTAATTTTTGTTACATAGTTCTTTTTCCTTAAGCCTTGTCTATTATTTCTCAATAAATTATCCTCAAGTACAATATCCACATCCAGTGCACAGGCCTAGAAAGGGTTACAGGAGATTGCTCAGGTTTTTTTTTAAAGGAAACGAAAAGAAGCACAGCCTCATCGCTCCAGCTTCAGAAATAGCTGTTGGTGTCATTTACATAAAAGAATTATTACTGCGGTTCAGCTACTTGAAATAACTGCTGTTTGGACTGCAAAAGAATGCCGAAATGTTTCCCTTAAGTATGAAACTGCCAATCAGCAAAGTCCCCTCCCGAAACCTGTATTTCTGAACACAACCTTCTCCTCTGAAACAGTTTCAGATCTGTGACAGCATCAAAATCATGGCTGTGTCCATAAACAAGTTAATGGAGTAAGTCCATGAAAACAAAGTACAGTTCTTTAATGGGAGTGCTAGGTTGCCCTCTCTAGGCCTGAGCTCCCAGCGCCAGTTTCCACAGGCTCTTTGCCAAGCAAGTCTCTGCTGGGTGCCTTGGCTGTTTCTGCGGCGACGGCGGCTCCTGGCTGCTGAGCCACTAATGAATGACTAACTGAGGCTCAAATGGGAAATGACATCACTGGGGTGTAGAACACCACTGCATCAGGAAAAGTTTCTACCTGCTTTGCATTCGAGTCCCAAGCATTGCACACAAGGCAGTGGCAAGGCGGGCCATCGGCTCCATTAAAAAAAAAAGCAGCAGCAGCAGCATAAATAGAGTTTTTCACATGGCTGAGTAATTCAGTGGCATATCAGTTCCAGCTCCTTGTGAAACCCAGCAGTACAGTATAATCATGCAGCCAATTGCTAGTCAGTGGCTTGCATTTAAAAAAAATAAGAACTGTCAGCACACACACCAAATTAAAATAATGCATAATGTTAGGGATGTATAAGCAGCCAAAGGAAGCATGTATCAAAAGAGCATTCTGGCTCGTAATGGTTGGATTAATTTTCTCTGATCTTCCTACCATAGTAACATGAGATGGTCATTAAAGCATATTAAAATGATTTGTGGCCCAACCCCCACCCTTTCATTTAAAAAAAGGACACAGAACTTGATTGGTTTATAAATATTAACTACAATCTTCACTGCTAGCCAGAAATAGTAATATCATGTAGCTATCTTGTAGTTAATATTAATACATCCACACACTCACATCCTGTGCATGTTTACTCAGAAGCAAGCTCTACTTTGCTCAGAGAGCACTTACTCAAGAAGATCTGCAACCCCATCCTCCTGAGCAACAATCGCAGAGGCTGTGTTGCTAAGTTAGGAAAGGCAGCCTCAGTGTTTACAATGAGAATATTCACCAATATAAGGAAACCAGACTGTAGCATCACATTGTGAACAGCCAGAAATCATACACAGATGAAATTACAAGATCTACAGTTCCTTGGGAGTAAGTCTCATTCAGCTAGAGGACTTACTTTAGAGTAGATATGCTTGGAATTGGGAGAGAAGCCAGAAATTATTATTACACACACACAAACGGACATTTGGACAGGACACCCACACACACACACACACACTTAATGTGGGTCAAAGTTATACAAAATGATTCAATAACATTTTCAATAGCTTCCTGTCTACTTTACTGGCTTGTCTGTTATTCCTGTAGTCTTTTCAAGGGATAAAGGGAAGGGAGAGGATATTTAATCCTTCCCGTTTCCAGATCACAGACCATGTTGAAGTAATAAATTTGAAAAGCAAATAATAAGTACTGGTGAAAAGAGGAGGGGGAGGAGAGACAGCTGCAGAGGAAAGTTGAAGGGGGGGGGACTAATTGGGGGCAGAAGAGATCTCTGGAGAAGTAGGGTCCAACCTGGACAGAGTTTCTGGAAGGCTCTCTCTCTTCCCCCCCCCTCTTCCAAAACATCATCTTATTGAAAAATGTTAACTCAGGAGAGGATATTAAGAAGCGCATATTTGCTGGGAAGGGAGAATCAAGCACTCTAGAGGCCGGCTGAAGTGTTGCATGGGCAGATGAAACGACTGTACCAGGGCTTCTCCTCCCCCCTCCCCCGTGCGCCCCACCCCGGAACATCACCCGTCAAGTGAACATTGCACAAGGTGGAGAAATTTAGGGGCGCGCAATCCAAAGGACTAACTGGGTCTCGGAGCTGGGGGGGGGGCGAAGGGAAGAGAAGGAGGCGGCCTAAATTGCGAGGGGGGGTTTTGAAATATAATTAACTCCATCAGACTATCGATTGTTGCAGGGAGCTGGCATCTCGGATTATAGACGGAGGGATTTGCCGGTGGGGGGGGGTGAGAAAGAGCTGCTCGGAGCCTTACAGAAAGCTGCAGGCTCGGACCCCGAATCGCTCAATTATTCCACATCTGGCGATTGTTATTATTGTGATTACAATGATGCGCCTTGGCCACTCCGCCACCTCTCGCTCGCTCGCTCGCTCTCCGCATAAACACAGCGCCGCTCGTCCCCGGCCCTTAAAATAGTTCCTCCTCAGGAACACGGCGCAGCGTCAGCTGACTCGGATCGCCAGCAGAATTGCGGGCATACGTGAAATTACAGCACGGGGGGGGAGAATACGGTGTGAGCGCAAACCACAGGCGCCGCGTCCCTGCTCCCCCCCCGCCCCGCCCCACCCCCCACTGCGCCGCTTAAAGCCGATCGGAATGCCTCCACTTTCGCTTTCCGAATCAGGCACTTTCCCGGATCCTAAAGTTTTCTCCTAAGGCGCAACCTCGCCAGGTATTTTGCCCACAAGGCACACGCCACCAGTCTCGCAATCCTGCTTACTCCAAAGTCGCCTTGATTTCCAGGGGTTTGCAGCCAAACCGAATCGAGGCGGAGCTACAGCCGGCCAGCCTGTTCCTCCAACCTTCACTTGTTAAGCTAGTCCTACGCTGCTCTGCGCAGAGCGCAACCCGATCCTACGCAGCTTTACTCGGCCGGAAGCCCCACGCTGCGCTGCTGGACTCCAAACAAACGTGAATAAGAGCTCTGCCTTGCATGAGAAGTTAGCGTAGAAGATAGCTTGGCTTCGCTGAGGGAATTCATTCATCCATCTATCTACTGTACACCCTTTTCGCCTCCCCCCCTCCCCTTTTTCGCTGGAATATGTCCACTTTTTAAGAGTAATTGTGTTAAGCGAGCCTCTTCGGAGGAAGAAATAACGAGGCTGATCGGAAACAGCAAGCTGGCTGTTAATGCTTAACGTGTTTGTGCTGGTTATTACACACCGGAGTGCTTTGAAATACGCCCAAGCATATCTGCAAGTTATTTGAATGTATTATTTCCAGTACCTGTCATTTATCACTTTATTCAACACGTCTGTGCCAGCGAAATCGCTTTTGATCTCACTCACTGCCTCCATTTCGTAATTTCCGCCTTCTTCCAACATATTAAAAAAAATACTTGAAGACCCCCAAAAAAGAAGCACGTAAAGATACACGCCCTCCAAAAAAAAACAAAATTGCGAGAAGGGGAAGGGGAAAACATATCTTCCGAGGCGAGCAATATTTAAATCCACTGACGATGTCTGTATGGGTTGGGGGGCTGGAAATACAGCACAAGCACTGAAACCCTGAAATGAAGGGAATCAGCAGCAAGCATGTGACAGCGACGCTTAAACAGCAACGTTAGGAGGAGGGAGGGGAAGGAGGGGTGATGTAAGTAAAGATCACCTTCAACACAGAGACACTAAGTTATTGGATCGCGGCTCCTAAAACGTCGGAACGTTCTGGCTCAGCCGTCGTCTTTTCAGATGACAAGCACAAACGCTGCAGCCTTTTCCTTCGCAGCACTACTAGCCCTTTAAAAAAACCGAAGCTCACGTTGCCGGCAGAAGGGAACATTTCAGTCCTGTTCTTTAATAAACATTACAAGGTGGGGGACAACTCACAGCGAGAAAGCGAGAGAAAGCCATACACACACTGTGACACAGGCACAAGGAGATAGATATACATATACTGTACAAACACACACACACAGAGAGCGAAATGTATGTTTACTACCTCGCCATGGTCACTGTTTCTGCCTTGGGGAGTATCTTCTGGTAGAAAATAAAGTTTGGAGCTGGATAAAAGTTGCCTGGAAGTCCTTTCTTCCCACAGCAGCTGTAGCTCCGCTATGCAAATCGGATCCTCTGGCTTACATCTTACAAAGAAAAAATCGCCAAGGGACAAAATTCTTGGTCTGCCTTCAAGGTGGAATTGAAAAGCCTTGTAGAAAATGTAAGGTCCATGTAAGCCACACGGAGAGCCGACCCACTGGAAGGAATACATAAGGATGGGGAGAACAGGGAGAGAAGATCAGTGGAGAAATAATAATAATAATAAGAATCAGCAATTCTAGATCGATCCATTTTTAAAAGCCCAGCCAAATCTGATCAGAACAAATTGAAGAGACACATTTATCAATCTGATACAAACCAAGGTGGAAATAATATTAAAATAATAATGAGGGGGGCTGGGTATTTGGGGAGACAGGCTGGTTTTCCTCCGAAAAGGAGGAGGGAACCGATCAGAGGCACCATTATAATAATTTCTCTCCCTATATGATCGGCAAAGGCATCTTTTAAAGGAGGGAGAAATTGCAATTACAAGGGGAAAGTTCTTGGAAAGTTTGGGGGAGATGAAGGTGGGTGTCTAGGGGGCCCGGGGTGCCAGGATCTAGGGTGCAGAGGCGAAGAAGAGAGGAGAACCGAATACCTGAACTGAATTGGGCTCCATCTCGACGTTCTGAATTGATTGAACTCAACATTCTCTCCAAACTTGTTGGCTTGAATGGATTGCATCAGGTCCTGGCAGGGAAAAGCGATCTCGTCCAACAGCCTGCTCCGAGCCTCAATATAAAACCCGAACCCTACATCCCAGGCTCGTCCAAAATATCCCAAAAACCCGGTCAGCGATTCTCACAATCCCCGATTTTCAAACTATTTAGAAAACAGGGTTTTTTTCGCTCGCCCGTGGCCAATCTGCACGGGCGATACAGATCAACGCCTAAGCAAACCGCGGCAGGGAGGTGAATGGATCAAGGTAAAATCGGGACCCGGAGCGGTTTTGAAAATCTTACAACGCCCCAGACTCGGCCAGGGTAAGGTTGTATTCCCCCGAAGCCCCCAAAGGTCCAGCCAAAAGGACCGATCCATTTTTGCCGGGCAATAAGGTGGTCTTGTTGAGGTGCTCAGCTGACAGGACCTGCTTGTATATGTCTAATATAAAGAACATTTCCTGCAGAGAGTCAGCGGCGCTGTTCTTCTTTCTAATTCTCTTTAGCAGATTTGCTTTTATTAGACATGTAGATTTGTTTGATAGTTAAATTACGTCTCCTTACTGCCATATTCTCTACCCTCCTTCCCCCGCCAAGCAACTTGATCGGTTAGATTAGCTGCCTGGTGCGAGTATTTTAACGGCGGGGGAGACAGCAGGGTGGGGAGAAAGTGGGTTATCGATTATATAAACATATAAATATTAATGCATTTGTTCTACTTTGCGCCCCCGCCCCCCCCAAGGAGTGGTGAGCGAAAGCAGCACACAAGGCGGCCGACGATCGCGGGATCCAGCCAACGATATCGAACCGGCCGCGATCGCTTTTTATAAAAGGGACAGAACAATAAACGCTGCATGATAAATCAATACGTGAGGACCCAGCGGGGACCGAGCCGCGTGCACGTTCTTTTAATTCTGAAGTATATCAGCGCGCGCACACACACACACATGCATGCACACACTCACTCCTACCAGTTACGTGTTTACAATGCAGATCTCACGGCAAGGGCGCGCTCAAATACTAATGTGTTTATATAACCCAGCGGTACAAGAATACTGACTTGGGGGACGCGGGGGGGGGGGGGGAAGAGAGAGGGGAAAAAAAACCACTGAATTTTTCTCTCGCAGTCATAGTTTGCGAGGCGGGAGGGAAGGCGATCCATTCGGGAAACGGGTGAAATGCAATCCGAAATTAAAAACTAAAACCGGGACGCAGGGAAGGCAATGGGGGTGGGGTAGGGAAGCAAGCCTAAACCGTAAGACAATCAGCTGCTTGTAATGGGGATATTTATTGACTGATTGTTCCGGCGATTTCTGCATGCGGAGTTATTACGCAAACCCCGAGAAACTTAAAGAGCTACGGAAACGGGGGGGGGGGGGAAGAGGGGGGGGGGGAGAGNNGAGAGCGAGCAAATACAATCAAACAGATCCGGCAGCAATCTCTGCTTTTCCACCAGCCGCCTATAGAAAGACGCTTTATTATTATTATTTTTTCGCAGCGTTGTTAGAAAATGGTGCATTCTCTCTCTCCTCCTCCCCCCCCCCGGGTTTTTACACCGTTTGCATCAAAGGTAGGGGCGCTGATCTTCCCAAAAAGAGAGGAATAAAATAATTAGGTACGATGTACGAGGCGCAGGGGAAGAAAAAAAGGTCTGTACAGTATATGACAGTTGCAATTTGATCCGCGATAAAATTACTGGATGTCGAAATGACTGGCAAGCTATTTTTAACACTTTCGCAACGTTTCACCTCTAGACACGGTGTCTCGTTGGAACAGGATTATTTTAATGAAAATCATATTCACGTGGCTGAAGTTAATAGAATTGGGAGATGGGGGAGCAGAGATCTCGGTGTTCACAGCTAAAAAGACCCTTCCTCCCCCCGCATCGGCTTTTTTTTTTATCGTACATGTTCATAACGCTGGAACTTATCGCAGTGCGAATTAAGGCAGTTAACCTTATCTAATCCTTTTTTTTTCCTTTTTAAAAGGGCAGTCACAGAAAACAAGCTCTCTCGCTTGTTCCCATACAGGCGGGGAGATGGGGCGGGGGGAGGACATGGCAGGGTATCAAATTTCAATAAGTAATAAAAGTCCTCTCGCCAAAGAGCGGAGGGCTGTCGAAAACTATTTTAATAATTTAAAGGGACAGTAACACTCCGCAAAATGCAGTGGATTTTAACAAAATAAGCAGTATCTCTGTATTCACCTCCGCCCCGCCTGCGCTCTCAAGACGCTGCGGCTGCATTAAGCGCCCGATTCAGAAAGAAGTTAAGCCGGAGTGCTTGAGTTGAAACCGATAAGATTGTGCCTGTACAGAGTTAGACGCCCCTAGTTGCATTAGAGTAGCTGTTCTGCCTCTCCATAGAGGTCGCCGGCTGCGATCCTGAGCACATTTATGGCCCGATCCTATGCATCTTTACTGGAAAGTCAGGAGGCGTATTCAGTGCAGCTTACTCTTCCCTTAAAGCTTCCGTTCGAGACGTGTTTACTTAGGAATAAGCCCACTGAACGCAGAGCAATTTACTCACGAGTAAACACTGAAGATTGCCGTTTCACCAGCTTACACTGGTGTCAGTCCAAGCCCAGAGGTGCGAGCCTGAGACAAAAATCTATGGGGCGCCATTGATTTCAATGGGTCTACTCTAGAGTAAAACAGGGACGTGAAGTTTGCAACCAAAGGCATTCAGAACATTCCCTTGCCACTTTTCTCTTATGATTAATACGTGTGTCTTCTTCAGTCTCCGCATTGTTCTGGTAAACATTTGAGCTGGTTTTCAGGGAACTGGAATTGCAGTATATTATAATCTTTTGTATTTTTTTTTTACACAAGATCGTATTGAAGATTACACTCTGAGTCAGTTTCCTGTATAAAGTAACGCAGCAGAAAGCAGCCTTAATATGCAGGGAACCTTATGATTAATACGTGTGTCTTCTTCAGTCTCCGCATTGTTCTGGTAAACATTTGAGCTGGTTTTCAGGGAACTGGAATTGCAGTATATTATAATCTTTTGTATTTTTTTTTTACACAAGATCGTATTGAAGATTACACTCTGAGTCAGTTTCCTGTATAAAGTAACGCAGCAGAAAGCAGCCTTAATATGCAGGGAACTTTATATTTTAAAGGAGGGGGAGCCCCCC